CCCGGCGCCCTGTGTCCTGGGCTTTTGCCTGGGAAAGGCTCCATTAATTAACATGCCAATCGCCAGCACGGACGTGGAACGGGCGCGGCTGGGATTTGGCTCTTGCCAAAACGGCTTACGAAACCGTGTCTGGTGCTGGTGCCCACGATGTATAAAAATACCAGCTCACACTCTCCCTTGACACTGCTCCACCAGAGGCTAAATTTAGCACCACACGGCCTCACAGCTCACCTGCTCCCAGCTCGCACGTCTCCCATTCCACTCTGCCCGGATGCGCAGCTGCCCACGGATGGCAGAGACACCTGGACAGACAGACAGACGAAGTTCTGGGAGACGCGAGCTAGTATAATGTGGCCGTCGTGTTGTTCAAAAACCTTTGGCACAACTTGAAAGAGTTAAGTCTCGCTGGTTGTGCAAACACTACCTTGGGGGGGAGGGGCACGAGTGGAAAAGGGCCGCTGAGTGAGTGACCTCAGACACCTGCCTGCAGATGGGGGGAGGGCTAATCAAACTGTGCCCCAATACACACAGGAAGGCCTTGGCCCCTCGGTGACGGTGACACGTGCAGTTTGGGTTTTTTCCTGGCCCCTCTGTGAGGCTGCAGGGGAGTCCTGGCTGCACAGCAACTAACCAAAAGGTGGATGTTGTCTACTATCTACCATGGAGCCAGAACTGACCCATCACTGACCCTCCAGTGGGTTCTCAGAGACAGTAAATCAGACGGGAGGAGGCTGCCCATCTTTCACGGAGTAGCTGGTGGATTCGAACTGCTTACCTTTGCTCTGGCAGCTTAGTTCCTAAATCACCAGACTAGGCGTTTGGAATCCACCACCAGCCACTTAAAGGGAGAAAAAGAAACAGTCCCCTTTTCAAAAGGTTTACTGCCTAGGAAATCCTATCAAGCAAGTTATGTTCTGTCCAGCAGGGTCAATAAAGAACAAACTCAATGACAGTGTGTGTTTATTTATATATATTTTTTTTCATCTCTTTTAAATTGTGATTTTCACGAAAGTTTACAGAAGAGTTGGATTGTAATTCATTTATGTTTAGACGTGGGATTGGTAGATGTACTTTAATTACTCAAGAGCTCTAGTGGCACAGTTGTTAAAGCGCAAAGCTGTTAACCAGGTCGAGGATTTGTACCACCGGTTCCCCTCCGTGGGAGAAAGATGAGCAGTCTGCCCTCAGAAGCTCAATGGAGGAGCGCTATAACTAGAAACCACTCAATGGGAGTGGGTGCTTATGGAATAGGTCCAATCCTCCACTATGTTTTATTTTGTTTTTTTTTTATTGTTTTAGATGTAAAACATCTTAATATATTTTTTTTTTGGGAAAAACATATTGGGGGTACAAGGAGGTGAGGATTGGGGACAGAAGGGTGAAGATGGGCCAGGATGCAGTTGCAGAGCTGCACAGTTTGGTCAGTGGGGGGAGCAGTGAAGGAAATAATGAGGGTCCAGTGGGGACCAGATGCTACAGAGGAATGACAAGCATTTT